CGGCTATGGAAACAAACCAGAGAGAGGCTGCGATACAACACAGGCAGAGGTGGAGGAGAGGAGAGATATATGGAGAATATAATAATATTATATATAGCCTTTAAATTGAATATAAAAACTCTTACAAAAGCTAAAATTGCTTCTTTATTCTGCAGTTACAATCATTTTATACCATCTCATTGATTTACTGAAGGCTTGTGAAGTGCTGTGAATATAAAACCTCCATTTTCCAGGACAGTGACGCTCAGTTCTTCACACAGTTGCTGTTTAGGGAAGAGGAAGAAGAACAGTTGGGATGATGAGTGGAAAAGTGTCAGACACCCTGAAGCTTCAGTCAGATCAGCAGCAGCTTCTGCAGTTGTTGCTTTTTATGTGAAGATGTTCAGTTTTATGATCTTCTGTCAGGTTTGGTTCCTGCACACAGTTCTGATCAGCTGCAGTGAAAACTCCAAAGGTACAGCTGCATGTTATATTCAATGTTTTCATATGGACAGTTGTTGTTTATTTGCTTTGGATTCATGTTATATGTGCAAAAACAGTCATTTTAGTATGTTATTGTATTGTTTACTGTCTAAAATAAGTAGTTAGTGCATTTTATTTCTGCACTTTTAATAAACATTTTATACTGCATGATGGTGTTACAAAGGAAATAAACAGTATAAAATAATAATAACACTTGGAATAAACACTACAAACAACTAACTCAACTAAATATAAAACATAAAAATCACCTACATATATTCTGTGACTATATGTTCACCTAAAGGTTATTTTCAGGAAGAAAACAAGTATTTGACTTTCACATATTTTTCACAATAAAACATTTAATTCTTTAATAAAAGCATGTTTTTATTGTTCATTTTAATAAGTTAATAACAATCCCAGCAGGAACGTGCAGATATGTCGAGGAAATGTTGTTCTAACCTGATAAAATAACCCAGCTAGCAGGCTAACACTGGGTCATATGATAATGATATAGAAGGAAATTCTGCACGATGTGATGAATATATGACAAGCTGTGTGTTTATTCACAGAGTATCCCATATTCATTTTAAAAAAAGTTATTATTATTGTTATTACGATATATATTAATATATAATAAGATTGTAACACCCATGCGTTTGCAATTATCACAGTCTAAACTAAACTTAAATTTGTATTATTATTACGACCAGTTGTAGTATTACGGTGTACTTCTGTGGTGTTACCATAAACCTGTGGGAAGGTACAATCTGAGCATCTGCATGCATCAGCTAATAAATGAGAAGAACAGACTGCTGTTCATGAAGAAAAAGTTCAAATGTATTAAAAAATGGGAAATATTGATGGTTGAAAAGCAGGAAACTGCAGATGCTACAGTGTGATGATGTGGTTGAGGGCGTCTGCAGAGGGATGAAGAGTACTAAAGGTTTGGATGATACGATGATTTAATTCACTCTAACTTTAGTGACTACGGTTTATTCGTATTTATGCAACAAAACAATAAAACATTTTCCCGCCTCCAGAGGAGCAACTCAGATGAACTTTAGCTGGGCCTTGTGCACTGGCAGTAATCTGTCAGACATGTTTCCTGCTTTGTTATTTGAGGCTGACAGCGAGAATGTTTCCATGAGATAAAAGAGGAACCAGAGCTAAAAACTGCCCATCAGCAGGATGTGAGTGACACAGCAGCAAATGAAGGATAAGAAGACATCATATTTCTATCATATGTTTCTAGAATGATTTAGGATTTATAACATCTCCAATAACGGATAAAAAAGAGATTCAGATCTTATCCTCTCCTCCAGCAGCGATCCGGGTTTCAGTCCCGGAGGACCACCACATCCGCCTGCGGTGTCCCGGCGCCGACAGCTCTGATGTGGTCTGGACTCACCGGGACAGGAGCGTCCACGAGACCAACGAGGACACCCAACGCTACCTCCTGCTGCCCGACGGCAGCCTCCAGCTCCTGCAGCTCGATGAGTCCGACAGCGGAGAGTATCACTGCAACCAGCAGCTGGTGGCCGAGCTGCAGGTGCTCACAGGTAGAGCTGAGAGTGGTGCATTATGGGAAACATATTCAGAAGTGTCTTTAAGCGGTTGAAAAGATAGATACAGAAATCAGTCCAGTTTTAAGGTCTTTATCCAAAAATGTTCCCAATGTGTTACTCTTTATGTCCATTGAGGAGGATCTATTGTCAGAAATGGAATATAATAATCACAGGTATGTTTTCATTAGTGTGTAACCACCTGTAAGAAGGAATCATTGTGTTTGTATTTAAGTTATTCATACATACATAAATACAAAAATAAATATTGAGTGTGATGAATGAACTGATTTCCATAGAAATCCACAGAAACCGCTGTCTGTCTGAAGGGAAGTAAGTCGGTCTGATAAGTTGTGAAAGATGCTGTGGAGCAGCTTTTAAATGAAACTTTCTGTAGAATTTTTTCTGCATAAAAGAGGATGTTGGTTGTAAGAAGGGATGGGAGGGATTTAAAAGTTAATATTCCCACAGTCTGAATGTGTCACAAACACCACCCACCTCAGGATGTATGAAACCAACGGCAACGGTGAGGTAAAGGACCAGGGTTCAGTGATGGAGATAGAGAGCTGCACACTCAGAGGCATCCAGCAGTGACACACTCCATGGCTCTACAGAAAGGAAGTGAGAGGGGTTTGAGTTTGGAGGAATTACGGTTCACACCAGCAGTGATCACTCATCACTAAGAGTTTACGTTACGTCTTGCTAAGATAAGAAAAGACTTTATTGATCCCACACTGTGGACGTTCACTTCCACAGCTCCAGATACAAAACAGACAGGAAATACACATTTAATGAAAATAAAATAGAAATGTAGGAGAATTATCGAGTTAACTAATTACTGTTAGTAAGTAATGTTACTTTTGAAAGGAGTAATGAGTAATACATTACATTTTTAGTTATCCCACACTGTGGATATGTTTGCTCCAGATGTTCTTAGCTTCTTCTTTTATTTAACAGAGAAGATGATGAAGAGAAATCTCAATATGTTTGTCACTTACATTCACTTTCACATTTACATCTCTGCTTCCATTAGATGCATATTTCAGTTACTTATTTATTTGCACAATTCTTGATCAAGTACCTTTTTCTAAGTGACACTGACTTAATTTTATACTTTTTATTCACACTGTGAAAACAAAATACCCAGTAAAAAGAACTTAATCAGGAATATTTCTGTGTCACTAAAAATGACTCGTAGAAGCTGCTTCATCACAACAAACACCTTAAAATTGGAGTAAATGTACTCAGTTACATTCAACCAACGTGGCTTAAGACAATGTGACTCAGGCAGGTTCATAAGGTCGCTGTGTATTCTATAAAAAATATAAATACTGGAGGGAAAAACCCTAACCGACAGACACTGTGACAAATACCCACAATGCCTCTCTGTTTCTGCCCCTCAGGTCGTGACTTCAGGTGTCTGCAGGCCGGACGCTGCTGCTCCCCTGCAGCAGCTCCTCAAACACAGACAGAGGTGGTTCTACCGGAGGAGGGAGAGGGAGAAGTGGGAGCTCATCTTCACCGTGTTCAGAAACGGTACAGTGAAACCGGAGAGGGGGGGGGGCGGCTCAGCTACCACAGCGAAGTTGCAGATCCAGGACCTGCAGCCAGAGGACGCTGGAGAGTATCAGTGCAAGGTGAAGCTGGTGAGCAAAGTCACCAGGCTGACAGGTGAGCTCCTTCTTGTTCCTGCAGGGGGAAGTTTCTCTGAGCTCACTGGCCGGATTTTAAGGGGCGGGGCCTTTCTTTCTATTTAAGGATTTTAATGTGGAAATTACACATTGCCACATCATACACACATTATTGTTACTGTTATTTGTATAAATGTCTTAATATTTGTCTTTAAACTAATCTTTAATTTAATTTCTCTATTTGGAAAAAAACACAAGCAAACAGCTCATTGGAGGACCTAATGTATGTCGACACTTTGACCCTATTGATAATTAACTTTCAGTCATGTTTTCTTTTTTAGTTTTCATTTAAATAAATGTACAATAAATAATTAATAATAAATAATATTGTGCATTTACTGTTTTTGTTTCCATAAATTATACTCAATTAATTATCTTAATTGGACCATTTCTTCAGTTGAAAGTACGTACAGTAACTAACTAACTTTTAACTTATTTACAGTGTGATAAAGGAATAAACATGTTTTAAGTAGCTGTAGAAGTTATTAGTTCTTATAGATATTAATATATTATTATACACGTTAAACAGCACTGAGTTCATTTATTCTGCAGTCAACTTTCAACAAGAGACTGAAAGATTATTATATAATCAATTTTGATCTTTACAATAAACAAAATGTTGACATTTACAGGAGCGAGGTGAGCAGGTATTGTGCTTTGTATCAGAGGAGAGAAATAGCAACTGGTTGTTAATAATGTGTAAAAATATCTTTTGTATTGATTAATCAGTGCAGCCGGAGCCAACCAGCACCGAGCAAACCGCCTGGACAACAACAACAACAACAATAACAACAACAACAACAGCTGCTGTGACGAAAACAGGTAGGATGGATTTACATTAACACAGCAACATAAAGACCAGAGATAGGTGCTAAACTTTAACCCTTAACCAGAATTATTTGACTTATTTGTGTAAGTTTTATGTATGAAAATGAAGTTTAATGTTCATATGGTGGTCAAATGGGCTGTTTTATTCTCTTATTGGAACCACAGATGATCACACCTTTTACTTTAAGTCCAAAGTGTGTGTTGATTATGGCGCCCCCAGTGGACAAAAATGGCAGTGTTTGTGTTTCTACCACCTCCCACCCGATGGCAGGCGTTAAAAACAATAACAATGTGAAAAAAACTCTGATACAGGTAGAAGAAATTCAGAATTTTACTTGAGTAAAAGTACAGAAGTGTCAAAAAGGTACTTTTTCTTTTTGTCAAGATCTCAAAATAAGATTTTTTCAAGATAATATTAAATTTGTG